TTGTCGAGAAGGCATTTGTGCACTCCAGTTCCCTCACACCAAAGGCATGTCATCACTTCTATCCCCTACCAACACGGAGGGAGAAGGGATACAAGCCGATCGACCCCATGACGATGGTCGGGAAAGTTGAACTAGTACCGATCAACGGAGTCACTTTCGCTGCAAAGAACTCCGACTACGGCAACCACAAGTATCCGACTCCAGACTGTCGAGTACCTGAATACAGCCAAACGAGCCAGGCCCTGAGTCGTCGATTGGGAGCGAAGTTGAGACATCGAATTGGACGCCAGTTCAGGACAGGAGGAAGACTCGCACCAATCAAATGCGATGAAGGCGCATGGGTGTCATGGGAAGACCTGTTAGGTGATAATGCAGTTTGGGAAGACGGTTATCACTACGGCAACATAGATATCGTGACCAAGAAGGCGCGTTTGGAGAAGTACTTCGACCAAAACTATGAGTGTTTCCGCATGACCAAGAGGGTCAGATTCCAAATGTTGGCGGTCCGCGTTCACCCTGATGAACTCAATGAGCCTGATGACCCGATGGAGAAGGAATGGATTAACGAACTCAAGGACATGGGAATCTCTAAAGGAAGACTCCACCATAGCGATGGGTGGTGCTTTCCCGTGGCTGTAAGAGCAACCTCGGCACACTCAACGGACGGCGGAGGTTATGACGTTACCATTGACATCGACCACATTGGGTCGAGAATGACCAACGACATGGCCCTATCTATGGTGACTGCATTTCACGCTACCAATCTCGGAGCGCTGACTTCAATCATGCGACGAGGGCTAGTGCCGGGAGGTCTCGGTTCATCGGGAAGGGATTCTATCCACTTCACATGTTTTCCGCCATGGGCCTGGGAGCAGGGCTACAAGGGGAAACCTTGGCTGGGTCGTAAGGTTGCAATGAGGGATCGCCCAGTGGTTCTCTACATTCCGGTGTGGAAGCTGCAGGAGTACGGACTTCTCATCTCAGCGACTGGCTCTCTATTGGTCGAGAACGTCGTTCCCTTCGATGAGGTTAAAGGGGCATGGTTGCAATGCGACAATGCAGAACCCGGACAGCCTGAGAAGATCGAATGGATCCGGTTACTCAGTGGGGAACCCGACCCTGGAAGCTACCTTGTTCTAGAGTCCAAATACGGAAACCCGATCATGATTCCACGCTTTCAAAAGCTTGAGAGCTTAGCGGTTGAGGTTCAGGACGATACCTACTCCGAGGACGACGCCAAAATCTCAAAGCTGTTGGGTATGATCGAGGAGAGTGGTGTTTACCCAGAATATGATAACACCGAGTGGCAGGAACTCTTCGAGGAGATCGTGTACCGCCGAGCGATGAAAGACTATGATTCAAGGCCGTGTCCTAACTGTCTTGGCGAAGTCGATGTGCGATTGACGATATGTCCGCACTGCGTAGCGGTTTTGATCGCGAATGGGAAGCTCACACATGTGGTACCCAAGGAGACAAGGGACCGCAATCAACGATCACCTCCGAAAGATGTCCCAGCCAGTTCTTCCGGTGAAACAACCTCTGCTGCAGGTGCAAACATCGATGAAGTCATCAAGAACGCACGCAAGACAGCCGAAGAGGTCATTGAGATCGAGGAATCCGAAGGAGAGGAAGAGGAGGAAGTTCCTATCATTTTGAAGGAACGACCGGACGAAGCTGAAGGCGAGCCCGAGTATCGGGAGGTCCCTCAAGATGGATACGGGAATGAACTTCCGAAGCCTTTCCCCTTCGCAATTGACGAATTGCCGCAAGAAGCTGCGATCCCCATCGACCACAACTTTGCCGTCACACAGCAATTTGATCTGAGGTTGATGAAGTTGATCAAGGGCTTGGCCAACGCAACGTTCGACATCAACTGCTTTGAGAGTCGTGAAGATGTACTGCGAATGTTCGACGATGGACAGCGGCATGACACTCCGCACAATAGATGGCCAATAGTACCGAAAGATCCGGATACTGGGTTTCCAAGACGTCTCAAGAGAGCCGAGGTCGTAGGTATGAGCAGATGGACCGACGACGTGTTTGCAGCAGAAGCGTGGCAGATCTATGAATTCCACGCCAATGTTGTTCATCCGATGATGATCACTGCAATCCGCTGCGGGCTTAGCCACAAGTACCTCAAAGAGGTCGGCAGCACTCAGCGCAACACGAGTGATCCAAAGGCTCGAAAGTCTGAGACCCAGGATGAGATCATCGAGAAATTGGCATTCATCTCAAATTTCATCAGACGCATGATCAAGAAGACCTTCGGAGCGAGCCGATATAGTTACTACCAGAAACCAGATGACGAAAGTGCCGCTCCATACAAATTCATCGACATTAGTCCCGCCATCAAATCGGAGAGGAAGAATGTCACGAAGGAGATCCTCGTTGCATGCCGCTACTATGGCATAGAGGTATCCGATATCCAAGAAAGGAAATTGAAGTCCTTCGAGGAGCAGATCCGAGCGGGAAATCCAAGGAACGTTGAGCTCATCAAGGACTACATTGGCTTTGTCGGCGCTGACTACATGCGACAACTCACGAATGGTTGAGCATTGGGGTCATACCGACATGCTACTTCCGGTACTTCAAGTACTGAGGGATCGCGGGTAATTCATGATGACCGTTTTGGCATCATGGGAGCGAGATAGGATTGTGTCTCACACCGTTGGTAATCGCATGATACCATAGGTAGGTGCACGTTTTCCGCTTGTAGCTCCATTGCCTGTTTGATCCAACTTTCAAGCGAATGCAAGATCTTTTGCTAATTCAATTCAATAGGACATACTGGTTGACCTCCAATACACTTTTGAGAACGTGATTCGTTCTCCGGTTTTTACATCCACTCATCTCCCTTCCCCGTCGAAGTACGGATGTGGGGGGTGTCAATAGGGATGGGGTCCCAGTATAGTCGCTATACAGGTACATGCCATATACTTTTGGCTCAAGTGCCCAACCAGGTAAAAAGGAGCTTTAGCGCGCGAGCTTCATGTTGACCTAAGAGCTAGAACGGGGCCAGGGCACACCTTTCCATCCGTTCGCATATTTTGTGCTTTTTGGTTTATAGGGTGTGAAAGGTAGCCTCAAACACACAGGTCCTTTACTGAAGTCTTGGACCAATATGTGCATGGGTCCTACCTGACGGCCAAAGCCTGGAACTCATGCGTTTTGCTGGAGTGGCTGCATGATGCCTCCCTGCGTGCAGCGACAATGGACTTTCCTCGAGACACTTGTTCTTGAGTGTTGCGGGGTTGTTCTTGCTGTGACCTGCTTCAGCACTGATATAGATCTGCTTAATGCATGGAATCACCACCAGTGTCTAGATCTGTACTTTGGGAATGGGTGCATGGTGCAGCAAGGACAGGCCATTGGGGAGATGGCTTCAAGGTGAGGTGCAAGCTGGACGACAAAGCTGGCCAGATGACCCTTTGCTCACGCTGAACCCGTTGGCTTCGCCATGCAAATGCTTGTTGATGCCTTTTGGCCATGTCACATGTCACATCCAACATGTGCGTCCTAAGGCAAGCTTTGTGCGAGTGGTTTGGCCGGTGTGAGCAAGCTCCAAGGTTCTTGTGATTTTGGTTGCAGTTCAAGTATATTTAAAAAGGTTTCGTGCAAGGGGTATGTGGTTGTGTTATGCTTTTGGCCACACTTCATTAATAGGTATTGTGTCCATATCGGTCATTTCCTTGTGCCTAGGTCCCAGGAGCAAGCAGATTCAATCCATGCGGCTGGAATGCGGTTCCTTCGATATCACACCCACCTCCTCAAAGTCTCTTCCAGGACACTAGAGTTGACGTTGACTGTTCTGGGGATTTGTGAAGAATTGTTGGTGCAGTTTGTTTTTATGTTCAACCTGTGGCAGTTTTTGTTGGGGCAGGATGGGGTTGCAGTGCTGGTTTGTAAAGCCAAAATGCATATGTTCAAGCACTTGCTGGAGCGCACCCGCAAGTTCAGATCCTTGATTTGATGATCCACCCTGGTGTTTTCCTATGCTTTACTTCCTGGTAGGGTTTCCATTGTTGGTGGAGATGCCTTGGTGCTCCCCCTGAGGGCTCCAGCTGATTCCAGCTGATTTCTGTGGTGCATGTGGCTAAGGATACAACAGCCCCTTTGCGCATTGCTTCTCGGAGGAAGACACGATGAAAAAGGTGTCGGCGATGATCTGGCCGTCACATGGAACCCTATCTGTGCAAGATAGCCAGGCTGGGGCCAGGTGTTGGAGGATGTTGAAAGAAGTTTGCAATTGTTCACGGTATAAACTCAATATATTTTGATCTACAGTGCCTAGGGTTTTGTAGGGACCATTCCTGGTCTGTTGGTTTTGCAGGGCCAATTCCACGTGTTTGCACGTGCTTTTTTGGCACGTGTTTGGTCAGGTTGAGATGTGCAAAGAAGCGCATTTGGAGGACTGCTTTTGGGGAGGTTTTTGCTTACACGCAGGCATTGGTGTACTGTGGGTTCGAAAACCTGCCAAAAGCATGCAAAACCTGGTCCCTTATGTCATCGAGTACTGTGTGGGTATGATCCATCAGTCTTGGATCTATAGAGATTTTGCATGACTTTGCTCTCTTTTGACACCGTTTGCAGGACCAACATGGAGCAAGCTTGGCGACGCTGATGGAGAGTGGAAAGAAGGGGCGTGTTTCCGATCGTCTCGTAAAACTCGATCGTTTGCACATGACCTCGTTTCCCTTGACTCCCGGACTTGGAGGGATATATATATATATATATACAAATATCCATTAGCTGTTTGTTGTCCAAGTTTCAGCACTGTGTGGCCCATGTGAGCACGGCACTCCATTGGGGTTCCGTTCTTCGGCGTGGAGTGATGTCCAGAAAGTCTGGAATGATTGGGCTTTTGGCAAAACACCAGCAGTCTTTGTTCAAGGTGTTTTTTGCAAGTCTAGCCGACTAGCCAGAAGAGATGATCGCCAGCCTGGCCGCAGGAAGGCCCTCTTTCTTTCTTTAAAGATCCGAGCTAAAAGATCGCTGCTGAGGCATGACATGGGCTGGCCCGAGAGAAAGGTCTTTGGCAAAATCCGCTACATGAACTATGCCGGGTGCAAGAGGAAATTCAATGTGGAGGCAGTGTCTGGACATTCCGAAGCTGCTAGTTTCAGACAAGTCCCACAAAGCACAACACCAACATAGACTGAACTGACTGAACATATTCAGAAATTGTAGTTTCAGGACCCTCAAAATGAATCAAACTCGCATGATTCTCCCTATGTGTTGAGGCCTTCGAAGCGCGATACCCGGCCAGGGCCCAAGGCGCTCGGCGGGGGTTTTCGCAGAAGCTTGAAAGGTCTCCGAAAGCCACCCGGCATGTCTATACCTGGACCCGACTTCGGTCGTGGAAAATGGGAGTCTGACCCGAACCACAAAAAGCAGGAGTATTTGTACCATCTTGTGCCCATTTTTCTGAGGTATGAACTGAGACTCCAGGTGTCGGGAAAAGACTCGTTTTTTCGCTTTTTCGGGTCCCCAGACTGGGACACAGGTGTGAGAATTCCTCCGTGACCCGGAGTCTGGATGCTTCTGAAATATGTATTGAACGGAAATTTGGAGAAAATTCTCCAAGGGATTGCTTGGTCACTCTAAGTCTGGCATGCCCATGTGTTCTCGACTTGGAGGACTGAGCTCAGTTTGGAGGGTGTACTGGTTCGTAAAGCATCCTGGAGATACCATACTGTAGACAAGCATCCAATGTGTTTGCAGCCAGAAGGTATGGATGGTTTCGATTGTTCTGGAATTGAATCATGCTAGGAACTTCGACAGTGATTGGGGTGGGCCCACTTCATCAGGTTTAAGCACGGAAATCATGTCACCTGGAAAAAAAGGAGAAACTCCAAAATTATGTTTTGCGGCAGGTACCAGATCAGTCTTGGGCGTTTGAGGGTTGGAGAGATGTTGCTGTGGGATGTCTCTGGAGCTTTTCCACTGGGAGGGTAAAACTGGTTCACCACTACCGGTTAGACCGTCTAGTGCTAGCAAGAAAGCTGTTACTGGAATGTCGTTGGAATCTCGATGCCCATTGTCTCACCAAAAAACAGACTATAAACAAAAAAGACCTGAGAAGTGCAAGAAACCTCCCAAGATGAACTAAGTAGTGGCCTTGTCATATGGATCATCCTGGAACAACCCAGATTTGCCGGGTGCCCGGGTGCCTTCCAACGATCAACCTGTGGCCTGTTCCTCCTGACTTTTGGAGGTCGATCTGCATACAGATCGAACATCGAGCAACGTTTTCCCAGTGCTTTGAACAAACATCCTCCGCCTCGATTTCGAGGATGTGGCCTCTCAGAGTTTGGTCAAAGCCTTCATCCACTTTCAAATGAACCAAGCACGGCTGAAATCCCAACTCGCCAGGCCCAAGGGCCCCTCTTTCAGGCGCCACCCACCAAGCCTCGCCGCGCGAGCCAAGGCATCGAGCGGCGCGAGCTCGAAGAGGCGCGCTTTGCAGCGACGTCGCGCCGTTTGGCGCGACGGCGCCGACGCGTTTGGCACAGCGACGGCTCCGATGTTGGAACAATACCGCACTTTGAGAGGGAGAAAAGAGCACCAGAGGTCGTGGCTGTCGTCGTCTCCAAATTGTGCCACCCATGTTGGGTCCAAAAACTGAATTGGGTCCTTCAATAAAGGGGCCTAGCACTGATGCTGAATCATGTGCTTTTTTCTCGAGACAGCCTAGGTGTTGGGGAGGTCAAATGTGATCATATTATGTACAGTGTAACGCATTATATATCAAGTGCAGCTTTGATTTCTTTTTGATTTCAGTTCTTCAAGGCTCTATTGATGGATCACTAGAATCAGTTGATCACTGTTGAAAGATGAGGATTACCTCCAGATGGAGGGTTCAAACCCGTCGGGTGCACAGTGCACAGTGCACGTGATTGAAGAAGCACTTTGAGGATTAGGATTTCCATGCAACTCGCTCCGAATTTCGACCACCATATGGAGCAATCTCTTCTTCGAAACATGGCCAGGTAGACCAGACCTGGCAAATCTCAGTACCATGAAGCTGGGGACCAAAAAACACGTCGAATGCACGCGTTATACAATATGATTCAACATGCTGAAGGTCATGTTGGGATCAAAGACCTTTTGGTGCTTTTGCTGCTCCCATTTGAACCAAGCGATGAGTTCAGCACTGGCACCGCAGGGCGAAGCGCGCATGAGAGCCTATGGTGTTCGGAGCTCGACTGATCCGTTCTTCTCGGTCCCCAGGGGGGGCGGACCTGAAGCAAACAGTCAAAAACACGCGGGGCTACACTTAGAGGAACACAGACATCTACTGAAGCTGAGGAGCTGAGGGCGCTGGAAGGGCAGAAAGGGAAGTTTTGTAGTTACTTCTTGATGAAGCATGTCTGCACCCTACTGTCCTCAATCAATCCATGAGCCTTTGTTTCTGACATGAAGTCGTAGGCAGGCCTGCCTCATGCTGCGACATAAGTTGCCTCGGTCCAACAACCTTAGTCCATGATGGCTTTGTTTGTCAGGTCCGCCGTGGCATCGGCGAACTGTGATGCAAACGGGTCCAATGCGACCGGTTTAGAAGGACTGTGACTGAGGACTTTCAAGCTCGGTCGGTCAAAAGGTGAGGCTGCTGGAACCGCAAGCAGGGGAGGTGAATTTTTCTGTTGAATCTGAGCCAATCTATGCTATCACTACGCTCTTCAGTTCCACGACTGGAGGATGTACGGGGAACGTTGCTGGGATACTCGGCATAAGGGAATCACTGCACACCCAAACTTCCCAAACTTGTGACATCTGGAGTATGTGTTCTCAGGTGGTTCAGTTTACATTTGACAGGTTTCTTTGTTCAGGAAGTGCACAGTTGCTTGCACCCGGCCCGCGCGCCCCAGATGGGAGTTGTGGTGAAGCGCGCAGTTTCTTCTAAATTCATTCTCCATCCCAAGTCATGGTTGACGGGTGGCAGACTGCTACCAGCTCAGGCAGGCTCCCAGACTGGTAGCAGTCTGATGCAAGATGGACCCCTACAGGACCTCTACTACCTGGAGTCGATCTGTTCGTACCTTGGAAAATGGGTACAAGTACCAGTACTATCCTGTCTGGGTCATCAATGGACTACTACCCTCCCCTACCCTCGGGACTTCCAGGTCCAGGACACCCAGGTCCTATGGTCCAGATACGGTCCACGCCGCGCCCCAGCTTGGTTGCAAGGCATGCTTTCAACGTAACCCTTTTTCAATTATAGTATTCCAGGTTCTCTGAACCTTTGAGGTGGATTGAAACGGGGATTTGAGCCGCAAGGGTCGGGCTCCTATATACATGGCTCTTGGGAAATGGTTTTGGCGTTTTCTTTTCTGGACAATCATGATCAGGGTTTGTGGTTTTCTAAATGATTTACAGGAATATTTCTTTCGTGTTTGATGTGTTCTTTCGGAGCCCTCTATCACATCACCTATACCATCATATACCAGACTGTGGCGTGTCCAGCATTTGGCAACAACATCTAAGAACTAAATCAACACTCCATGGATTATGATGTTTTTACCTACCTTGACCCCTGCAAGCAACTACCCCAATTGATCGCGAATCCTATGCCAATCCCAGTCAAAACGTGGTGCCGCCTGAAGCGTCGCCTGAAGCATCGGGTCTTCCTCGCCGCCATGTCTTGGCTCCGCACGTAGATCGCGCCGATCGAACCGCTCCGTCCCCGACGGTGCCGCGGTGCGGAGCCGGGGTGGAGGCGGGGTGGGTAGCGCGAACGGGTGGACGGTGGTCCATGACTGGTCGACGTAGAGGTGCCAGAGGTGCCAGAGACTAACAGAGACGATTTGCCATTCATGGTTTTGAAGTGCAGTTTGCTTAATTAATCATCCACTGATCAACTCGAACAAATCTAAAACCTGTTGGTCTAAAACTGCCACTTGCGCTGCTCGTACCATGCGAACCCTCAGCTGTTCCTTTCGGAATTGCCACATGCGACATGACGCCTGTTCTCTCTCTGCGCTGGTGTGGATTCTGCGAGCGTTTCGTCGGGTGGACGATGGTCCACATCACCGAAGAAGCAGAAGAAGCTGTTCACGTTGGCAGAAGAGCAGCTGTGGCGTTGTTGGGTTGTTGGGGGTTATGGCTAGTATTGCTGGCCGCCAATGAGCATGTCAGAAGAGCAGTGGCGACCTTGATTCACCCCCGAAGATGGACAGGATGGGCTCCCAGACATACATTTTTCCTCGGGTTTCGAGGGAGACGGCTGGACCAATTCCTTTCTCCCACTTGGACCGGAGTGTTCGCTCCCAGTTCCTTCCGGTGACTCCTGCGATCCCTCTTGGGACTCCGATTCGGAATCTCTGCACCCCTCAGACGGTCAGCCGGAAGGTCCATATGCTGAAAGCTGGGGAGCCCAAGCAGCGACGCGGAGGCGACGCGGAGCGAAGAGCGGAACCGCTTCGGTGTTCAGAACGGGTTTGAAAAGCCCGAGAGAGACTTGCTATCATTAGACAGTGTGTAAGGAGAACACAATGCATTCAGCTTAATATATATAATATGAATATACACACTAGCATATATATTAGACGTATGTATTCACTATGATTTCAATTAGACATATAACGTCTTCCTTGAAGTGACATGAACACCTGTCACTGCTTAAGAAGTGACACTCATCCTTCTGCCGAAGCTTTGTAGCTTTGCTTTCCTTCCGTAATATTGATGTCCCATGATGGAGAGAACTCGTGGCTCTTAAACCTCACGCTCCTCCCAAACAAGAACGCTGCGCTTTTTTGGTGGTCTCAAATGCCCTAGCTGGGCAAAAATTTAGGTGGATCAAGACCTCTGGGCTGTGTTTGGGAGTTGCATTTTTCTGCACTTCCGAAAAAACACGCCCATCAGAAAACATTCAGTTCAGTTCGCCACACCTTGTTGACGAAAGGCTCGCTCCGGCCCAGCTTATTGGATCGTTGGCTCCGCTCTTCACATTCGGTTTGCAGATGTTTTGTGAAAGCCCCCCGATTCTTGAGTTCACGAAAATGACTCAAAGAGTTGAGCTGGGGAGGTGAGGACCTCATTTTGGGGCATCCAGAAAAAATGGTTCCTTCGAATGGTTGTGGACTTTGTCCCTCATTGTTCCCAGCTCCAATTTTGCTCCGGTCAAAGTGAGTGCTCATCGCCATGCAACCGAACACGACCCAGCCTCTTTCAACCCCAACCCCTCTCCTTTCCTCACGCGGGAGCTGGCAATTTGGCGGCGTGTGGCGTGCGGACGAACTGAGGGTCTCTCAACTGGAGTTTTGGAGGTGCAAACAGACAAGGGTATCTCACAGGCGGGATGACCGTGGGTCGCAAGTGGGTCGCAGGTTTCAGGTGGGTCGCATGGAGCAGTTTGCGCCAATGATCCAGAAGGTTTTGGTCGTGCATTCTTTGAAGGAGTTGTGGCATGAGGGGAAAAAGACCTACTCTCCAAATACAAAACTGTCACGTGTTAGTGTTGCCCTCTTGCTTCCAAAGCCCTTGAAAGCCGAGCTGTAAAGTCTCAGATAAAGAAAGAGTATTTTTACTGCACGAATGTTCTGTGTGAAGCATGTGGACGTTCTTGGACTCCCAGAGCAGCAATGATTCTGTTCGAGTTAAAGAATTGGGGGGTCTGTTTCGCACTGAGGCCTGTGTTGTTTTGTGTTGTTGCCCAATGTTTGCTCATGCCTCTTCGGAAGGATGACAGTTATGTCACTGGGGACGGCTTACAGCACCAATCAAGAAGATCTCGGTGGAATCTAGGTTGCTAGATGCCACGGCGACGAGCCAGTTGTCCTTGTTTTACTTTTCCATGCCTTCAGCCTCCATAGCCATCTCAGCCATCCGAAAAGCAGCCTCGAAGAAGCGATGAAAGACACCAACAACGCCACCTCAAAGGCACCAACAAAAACGGTCAGGCCGTTTCTGGTGGTATCGCGGTCAGGCCGTGAGGTCATGCCGCGAAAAAAGGAGATCGATGCCGCCGCCAGCTAGGTCCTGGTAGGTCATCCCATTCTGGAAGAAGAACAGATTCTTATCTTTCGACTCGCAACGAGTCGGTGCTTGCCGTGAATCTGTTCATCTTCTGTGGTTGACCACAGGGTGAACCAGGGTGCCAGGACCGCCATGTGATGTGGGTTTGTATTCCAACCCCCTGGTCCAATGGTTTTTGGCCTGTTTCCCGAACCGAACCCAGGGGGTCAGTACACCTAGAATGATCGGTCTCCCTATTTTGAGAGCAGAGCGGACTCCGGACTTCAGTCACTCACGGGGTCCAAGGTTTTCAGAGACCTGGCGGAACGTGGAGCTGAGGCCTTGCGCGGAGCATGGCTGCAGATTGGCAGCTGCGTGCCGGGCCAGGCAGCGATGGCCCGGGTCTGAAAGAGCGTGGGACCGATACATCTCGGCTTCTTGTTCCTATAGGGCTATGGGTCAAAATAGGGGTACCCCCCAACCATTGGTTTATAATGGGAATCCCTACTGAAATGGTGGTTATTGGGGGTACCCTATTTTGACCCATGCCCATAGTAGTAAGGCCAGGAGCTACGTTCGTAGCGTCCTTGCTCCATTCGTAGCGATGCCCAAAATGTGACGTTCGTAGCGTCCTTGCTACTAGAATTCTTCTTTTCAGGTCCTCATAATGGTAGGGGGTTTCTCATTTTTAGGGCATGTATGGTTACGACTCTTTTTTTAGCAACGGCAATGGTTTTGGTGTGTTTTGGTTCGTGATTGCTTTTTTAGACCTGCACTCAGCTTTTCAAATGTTCGCCACTGCACGTGCCTGTCACATGCTGTTACTTCATGCTACTGCTGTGCCTGCGCAACCAAAACTCTGCAATTAGACTGTTGATTCCTAACCCCCTCAAGATGGATTGTAAAACCTCTCCGTATGGGGTGTTGAAATATCATCAACGGTCTACCATTTTTTGATGACTTTGATCAACTTGATGCCTGACAAGGGGTCAACATGGGACTCAACATCTGTTTCTTCCGGCGTGTCCGATCGATTCTGACCGATGTATACCGAGTCATAAACGTTGAATGTTGTTCCGTTTGGATCTCCGTAAATTACAGTACAGTGGTTTCAGAGGTTCCATGGCACAGACCCCAAAAGGTGGTTTAGATGGGGGTCCACTACTAAACCACCAACATTGGGGTCTGTGCCATCTACTCTCAATCGACTATAAATCAATTTTTGGAG